GTGTGTGTGTGTGTGTGTGTGTGTGTGTGAGAGAGAGAAAGAGAGAGAGAGTGTCGAGTGTGAGTGTGTGTGTATGTGTATGGGTCTTTGTCACGAATGTACTTGAAAATGATGGTTAGAAGCCACAAAAATGAAGCCCGGGAGCCAGAAGCAGACAGAGATGGATCGGGGAAAACCGGGCCACCCGCAGCCCCCAAGAGTACTGAAGACCTAAGGCCAAACATCTTCACCCAGCAGGAGAAGGAGGGATAAGTAGACACCCCCCTCAGATTATACAGAGCACTGTGATTATATTGGTTTTAGGGCCATGGTGTGACGTTAATGCCCATTTAGCTACAGTGTCTTAGTAAAGTCCTTGGCCACTGTTATAAGAACAGTTTGAGTTCTTTATAGTTTGCTTCCAAGAACCCAGACTATCTTTTAGTTGTTAAAGTGCTCTTGAGCAATAGCTCTTCTGTGTTTTTCACAGGCTTTCAAGGTTTTCCTTTGGACATTGGCTGCTTTTTCGCTCATTTTTAGTCCAGTCTTGGTACGTGACCGTTTTCAGAATGTCTGTCAGGCTGAGTAGCCTGACAGACATTCTGAAAACTCATAAAAAAAGCACCCAACTTGATGGATGAACCAGTGTTGTGTCTACGCATAACAGAAACCTTAACTACACTAGAGTATATAAAATATTCCATCACTTCTGATATTGTAAGATGTTATACATAAGCCAGACGTGTTAAATGAGAGCAAAAATCTTCCATCTTTTAACAGTCCCCCCGCCCATCATTATAAATCTCATGATGATGCTCAGAAACCCAGTTTTATGTTCCTAGACATTGTTTTCAAAGCTGCTGTTACAGCCGGTAAATCATAGATTTCAGTGGTAACAAGTGCTGTGTAAAAACTTGGGACATTTGACATCTGAGTAGGCAGCACAAAAATGAGTCATTTGTATATGGTGACTTGGCTGCACATACACACTCATAGCACTGTTATAGCTCTCTATGGATCTCGTGGATCACAGACAGCGGACAGATCGTTAGCAGAAAAAAAAAAGACCATATTTTAGGTTGAGGAGAAGTTGCTGTGGTTTCAAGGGTCCTGAGTGCAATGTTAACTGTTTACCTTTTGGGAAACTTTTTTACTTTTTCACACTGGGGTGAAACGGTCACAGAAGCAATCAATTTAGCATGGGAGGAGCACTGATTTGGTCACCGTCATAAATATAAAGTAAACAGTGTTACTAATAGGTTTTCCACTTAATAATAATCTCAACTCTGTTGCTAAGGGTTCTGAATAGACTAAGATTCATTGCACTGCATATCCGTGTTTCTTTCTCTGCCATGAAAGCATTTACATTTACAATTTAACAAGTAAGGTGCATTTGACCTCACATGACATGTGGAACCGAGAAAGGCCCATCCTAATATATAAACTACTTTATTGCATCCTAGTGCTACTATGCAACACATAATACTGCCTAACATAAACATGTGAAGTAACCTTTTCCCCCTGTCAAAAGTGGGGTGTGCTTCCAAAAAGGCCATAAATGGCTGCTTACTATTCACTATGCACAGTGGACCCCCTGTAATCACATCAGCACTGTAAAAAAAATTAATGGCTTCACTTTCTGCTGTCTAAACAGTATAAAAAGGTTTTGCAACATGTGCTCTGAGTGAGTTCAGTGTTTTTGCACAAATTGAATATTTGCTTTGCAGGAATGACTGAAGCGCTTCATGATATTTTATGGAATCTGAAGCCAAGAAAGAAAAGACTCTGGCTACGGTCCGGTACTTCACTCCACATATCTATTTAAATCATCCTTAGTGCTAGCACATAAATAGTAGAGTGGGTTACACAGATAAATTTCCAGATTGATGCTCTGCACTCCTACTAAATAATGTAAATAGCTTCGTTCTTTGTATTGAGACTGTGTAAATACTGCATTTACTCCCTGTGTTCCTGTGTTTAACTACTATTAGTTGTACTAATACAGGAACCTCTATGCACTGCATTGGTGAGTGGCCACGTATATTACTGCTAAAAAGTTATTTAAAGTTGGCCTGTTGAAGTGAACCAGGTGATTCAACTTAGACTACAAATAATAGATTATGACATCTGTGAGAATTTAAAAATATATATATATATTTATAATGGATTTTTTAAAATAGATTGGGTTTCCAAAAAGGAAACGTTTTCTCATGCAGCTATGAAGCCCTTTTTAAAAAAAAGAAAAGTCCAAGAGGTACAGCTGTTCACCGAACTAATGACTTCAGCAGATTCAGCGAGAGCCCAGTGCAGTGATAAATGACTTTCACACTTCCTGACCCAGGTCCGTCCTCCGTATCTTCCTTCATTCATCTGTCTCATCAGTAGAGACATGTTAACAGATGTTAAAGCAGGAAAGTGCTTAACACTTTATCTGCCATATCTGTGCCATGAAAAAAGTGACTCCTGATAAAAGCTTCCTGAAACTTCCTGAAAACACAATTATCTCCAAAAAAGAAGAACAAGCAGATCGGTCTCGGCTCACCCAACACCGTAGCTCAGCTTTTTGTTGAACTTTTACTACCCAGAGGGAAACATGGACTTCTGGTCACAGACACTACTGTCACAGCTGAATACACAGTGTAGGCGTAGGTCTTTATTTATGGTAAAACACCGAAGACCACAGATGTATCTGTCTTTGCAATGGAGGATTTGCGTTTGGCTCGGAAAACTGAAGTCTGATTTCTCACAAGGGAATCAGGAAGTTTAAGTCTGATGTTGGAATGACCGCATTTCCCTTTCCTAAAAAGCTGCTTTGACAACATTTCAGACACATTTACACCTATTGGCAGGCTGGGATTCCCTTTAGGTTTTCCAGAAGAAAATTTCTCGCCACATTGGACTGATAACATGTGCTGGAGTGCTCTCTGAAGACAATTTTTGCTTCCCTGCATCACATCACAAAACAATAATCATTACACTTCCTGAGTCTGTTGGCTACATCTGTGTGTGTGCTGCATGTGTGTGTGTTTTCTTGGAGTCTGTGATGATTAATGGCACCATGCCTCCATAATAAAACCAGCTATAACATCTGTGGCAGTAAAGAGTACAACATCTGCGCTATGAATGTGTCCATAAGCATACTTCTGATGCAGCCTGTGTAAATAAATACATTCAGGAAACATCTTTGTATGCTTTGCCACACACATTTCATTCATGATTTTACTTACAAATCTACAAAAAGTTGGCATTTAATACCAAAGCAAAGCATTGTTTAATTATGTCTTAGGCCGCGCTTGCTGCCTATGCACACTTAAGTTTCCTCCAGTCTATTTTGCTTCACAAACAATCAGCTATGATCCTTTTGATGATACAGGTTGCATGGGCCACCTAGTCTGTTTTAAACAGCGCTACAATGTGATTGGCACGGCAGATGGAACTTCCAATTTAAAAGATATTCATGATGTTGCCCACCATGACAGGTTCAACAAATCTAATGACTCAGGAAACCACAAAGTCTAATCTGTGAAGGCTTTGATCCAAAACCTCCAAAAGGTAAACTGTGATCAGAGAAACCTGCATCTATTCATTGTTAGTGCCGAACATACAGGTTTCAGCCTTTTATTTTCAGTGGTTTTGTAGTGACAGCGTCAAATCTTTATTTCACCTCCCCCATCACGGCAGGAGGAACATTTATAAAATCTACCTCCGGTGTGGGACTTTAATTCAAAACTCCAGAGAGCCTCTGTTATAGAGATTGCGATACGTAGGACGCTTTGACTGTTTAGTGCATTACTGACTTCAAAGACAAGTATGAGTGTGTGCGAGTGATGCTTCCAGTGTAAGCAGAAAAGAGATCCCTCTGGCAAATAAGTGAAATGTTGTCATACATGATGTCCCCTTTGACTACATCTTGAAAATGTAAAAAGTTGCACACAACCTGCAAACCATCTTGAAGCCATAAAGATGCAGACACATTTCTGTCTGAGTTGAAGAGCCGGAAATGTTCGCACCCTCTGTTCACATATCTTTTTTTTTGTGTGCACTGATGATAGTAAAAACTTTTGTCTTTCAGGTATCATGAAAGTTGAAGGCCTAATGTTTCTGAACTTTTTCTGTCTGCAGATTTGATTAGCATCCCACCTGACCTGCCATCTGACATAGTGAGGATGGATCTGTCCAACAATAAAATAAAACATCTCAAGCCAAAACATTTTGTGCTGTCCAAAGACCTCAAACTTCTCAACCTCAGCAGTAACAACCTGCACCATATAGACACAGGTAACAGAAGCACCGCTCACATATTCTCTCTCTCCCACACACACATGTGAATCTGAGCACTCGTATCCGGATATCCAAGTATTTTGTGTTGTCACAGCACAGAAAACAGACCCAACTGCACAACTCAAAGATAAGATAAATTCCATTTTTAAGGGTGGTTCAATTCAATTGTGTCTATATAGCAGCCAATCACAACAATCTCCTTAAGGTGTTTTATGCCAGGGATTAATAATAAAAAACAATTAAATACAGAGTGGTGTATAAACAAAGAGATTTAAAAGTGGTGAGTGAAGAAGAAATGCTCAGTACATCATGGGAAGCCTCAGCTGCTTAGGCCTATTGCAGCTTTTCACAGGAGCTTTTGCAGGATTCGGGGTCACCTGATGCCCTAACTACCCTGTTCCAGAGTGATGGGCGCATCAGGATTCGAAGCAAGGCAGATGAAGTGATGTACCCATCGTGCCTAGTGCCTACTGTACAAGCCTGTGGGGAACGTGCTATGATCTGGGGTTGGTCAGGTCTAGGTTCAGCAACAGTATGTGGTCCCAGAAGGAGGTCTGACTATAGTGAATGACAAGGTTATTCCATCAATGGGTTTTTTCTTCCCTGATGGCACGGACATGTTCCAAGATGACAATGCCAGGAGACATCATTTTCACACATGGATTAGCCACCACAGAGTCCAGACCTTAACCCCATTGAGAATCTTTGGGATGTGCTGGAGAAGGCTTTGCGCAGCGGTCAGTCTCTACCATCAGTGCAAGTTCTAGGTGAAAAATTAATGCACTGGATGGAAATAAATCTTGTGTCATTGCAGAAGCTTACCGAAACAATGCCACAGCGAATGCGTGCCGTAATCAAAGCTAAAGGCGGTCCAATGAAACATTAGAGTGCGTGACCTTTTTTATTGTGGCCAGGCAGTGTATATGCTTTATCAAGAATGAAAGTTTTAAGCTTAATCTTAAAAGTAACCAAGAAAGTTGCCGCAGTGATACAGTGATAACAGGATGTATCAACGTTTCAACACATCCCCATTTTGCTGTACTAATGACTAAGAGTAAGACCCTGTGACGCAATTTGTTACAAATCATAGTCGATTGACAAACAGATGATCTGAAAGACGGGGATAATTGTGAAACAGTTAACCAAAACAGAGGGTAATCCTAGATTTAAAAGCATTTTTACCATACCCATGATATCATATATATGCTTCTAGCTCTTGAGAAAGTGTTTTTTAATCAACAATATAAGTCAAAGGTTTGAACTTTTACTTCTGCTATTTGCCAGGCAGACGTACTTGTGATAGGCTGCATTCACTATCGATAACTTGATAGCATTCTTAGCAATATTTTGAGTTCTGTATCAAAAGATTTTTTTAAATAAGTCAAACAATATTTGTAGGCTTTTCCTAAAATAAGATTCAAAAAGCTTTTCCCTCTAACTTGCATTTACTATGCATCATTAATGACTAAGACCATGCAATTTCATATTTTAGTTACAATAAGCCAAGAAAAACAATAATTATACTTGACTACATTTTTGTAATGATAACAAGCAGAAATTCTGGCTACTCCTTGAGGGCAGGGGCAGGACAACCATCCTCTTTGCCTACAGATTCTCCCACAGTTCTCTATTCAGGAATATCTTATAATGTCCCACTAGAGGATTAAACTCCTTGAACACATTGTGATATTTCACTTTTTTCCCTCAAGAAATACTGCACAATTATTATTATTTTTATTTAAAATTTATTGAGATGAACCTGAGAAAGAAGCACGTGTGCCACTCACAGGGAAAACAGATATCTGTGATTTATTAGAAAGATGTTGTTTATCACCTCATCTCTAAGCCTCACTGGCTTGTGCTCAGGGTTCATTTTGAGGACATCCAAGTCAATCAAGATGTGACATATTTAAAATTGTGAACAGGTTCATGGTACACACTGGGGAAAATGTGGCTAGAAATTGCAGTGCAAGCAAAATGATTGAATATGCAACGAACTTGCAATCTCATTACCTTTGAAATGGCTGTTTTGAAGACAGGGACCAGGTCTGTGACCACTCGCAGTTAGCTGTTATCTTCAAAGCAAGTCAAGCAAGTCAAGGCAGCAATAAAATGGCAATAAGACGGAAAAAGTCTGCTGTCAGTTTCTGATTAAATTTAATCAAGTTGCCATTTACATATAATAGTTGCTGCAGGACAGCAATTTAACTGCAAAATGACATAGCTGCTTGTCAACCTTGACCCTATAATGGTTATCAATGCATTGATGGTTGTTGCACGCTCAACCACTGGGCAACCAACCACTACAACTACTCGCAACTGGCCTCAAGAGGCAAAAAAATGCAATGTAGTTTACTTAACTGCATTATGACTGATTTATTAGAGAGTTCCCAAATCCTTTCCTTCCTTCAGAGGCACATAAATGCTTCTTTCCTTGCTTATTTCAGCAGTTCCCAAAATAATGTAAAATTACCCTATAGTTCATGAGAAAAAAAGCAATTTTTATGGAAATATGTAACATTGGACATTGACATGGACTAGATGAGAAAGTACTCGGAATACAAATTCGACCTCAGAAATAGAGGAGTACCATTAAAAAGTGAGAATTCATTCATCTCACCGAGCTAATTATGTGCGAGTCCATCCCTTTTCTGGCAAAGAGGGAAATTCAAAAAGCTTCATTATCCTGCAACAGCACATGCAAACAATCTAGTGTAGCTCACCCCACTGTGTCTAACATTCTCTGGAAACTCAAACAGAAATTCAGTATAATTGTGAGAGCTTGTGATTGCCAGTGGCATGTGGTTTAAATCCCCAAACCCTCTTTTTAATCATGTCCACATTCAGAGTATATTCAAAAGAAAAAGTTGTTTATTTATGCTTTTCATGGGAAAGGTGGCCAGAGAGAAAAGAAACATGAATGAAAATGCAACATAAAAAAATCTGGCACATTGCATCAGTGTTCTCTTATTTGTGTTACTTTTTTCATGGAAGGCTTTGGCAGATTGTTTTGGTTTTCTAGGCCAGGCAAAACCCCAGAATAGACAAAGCAGTAATTTGATGGTCACAGGATAATGCAGTGCACTTAAAGCCTAATTTTCCTAATTTTCCTCAGACTAATAACTTTATATCTTAGAAAATGTAAAAGGAAAGGGTCCCACCCAAGGTAAAATAAATAAATAAATAAAAGTTCGTAATAGTCTTTAACTAAGTCAGTTTATCCAGCTGGCATTATTTCTGTGTTATTGCAAGTGAAGTTTCAGTGACCGGATCGTGACTCTAAGTTTAGATGCTTAGATTAGGATCTCTTGAAGAGCATGGAAGAAAAGGTAAGTGTCCCTAATAAACAGTTTAGCCTTTAGGAAATGTGCTTCAGACTTTCTGGCAAAGCTGGATGAAAGGATTCGTGTATTTCAGTTCCTGGGAAAGTAGCATGAATGTGGTCATTGTGGCTCCAACAAGCACATGAATAGTATCCAATTTGGGAGAGCCTCAAGCCTCATGAGTCCAGAGATAAGACATGGGAGGAGGAGGTGAAACGAGCATCCCCGCCCCCTTTATTACACTTCCTTCCTCTGCTATAGTTTCCTCTGTCCGTGTTGTTCTTGGAGATGAATGTTCATAAAGCTAATATAGACACTGAAAGAACCTCAACACCCAACCAAACCAAAAAAAAACTTTTTCAGTCTTCCTTTTCAAGTTCCCAATGTCATCAATTCCCTCCTTCTTAGTTCTCTACCTCCATACGTTCCTCCTCCTGTTTTCTCTGCCCCCCCCCCCCCCCCTTTTCCGCTCTGTAATGATCAAAGCCTGGCCAAAGGCTGGGGAGCGTGGAATGGTCTTTGCTGTCCCATTACTCCCACTGAGAATGCATCCATGGGCATGCACGTGCACACATTAGAAAATCAGACAGCTAACAGTGACTGGAAACATTTGAGAATATCAGCAGTCACCTTTTAAATCAAAATGTTTGATATTGCGTGTCATGAAGCCCAGTTGAAACCCAGTGTCTATACAGGGAAACTGCACATCTGGAAAAGCACCGTCAATACTGAAAGGTTTTAGAGCAACGTATGCTCCTATTCAGATGGCATCTTTTTCAGGTCTTGCATATTTCCAAAAGCCAACAAATATGTCAAAGACTGTGAGAAACTGTGGTAGAGTTTAAACTGTGGCAATTTCTTTGTGTGTATTTTTCTTCCTTTTTAGTCATTTTATTCTCTGTTGAGTCTTAAATTGCTCTTTAAACCTCATGAATGCCAACAGAATGCTAACTAATTTAGTTTGCACTTTTCCCTGCTCCCAGCTGCATTTGCAGGCCTGCTGTACCTCCGTGAGCTTGACCTCTCCAACAACAGTCTCCAATACTTCCAGTACAGTGTACTAGAGGACCTCTACTTCCTACGGAAGCTCTCACTGGACAACAACCCGTGGTTCTGCGACTACAACATCCACTACCTAAATTACTGGCTCAAGCACCATCCTGGCGTCCATCACACTGGCTTGATCTGCTCAGGGCCGCCTGAGTTCAAGGGCTGGCGTGTCGCGGATTACGTCAAGACCTACAACGGGGAATGTCCTGTAGATAAACAAATAGAAGGGACAGATACAGGACAGGGGGCACAAGAACAGTCAGAAAATGACGCACAGAAGCCAGGGATGGACAATAGTGATGGACAGGGTGCAAATCTTCCACAACACCTGAAAAAGGCGGCACCAAACAAATTTAAAATCATCAGGCTGAGCTAAAATGCAGACGGCTCAGAGGACTGGTAGAAACGTATACAATAAGATTGAAATGGATGTCTGAGAACAAGCTGAACGATGGCTTAATAAAAGGAGGAACTCTGTTTTGTGGTAAAATCCATTACGTAGGCTATTAGGGATAAAGCTTCCCTGTTCTGTATGGGTTGCAGAAATACCTAACTCTATCTCTTTTCTCTCTTACAGTAATTTTAATTTTGACTTCAGGATACTTTGACTTTTTTTTTTCTTCTAAAAAGTAATTTTTGGTCTTTTGGTATTAACGTATGCTTTTGTCTACTTGTTTTCAGGAAATAAAATTTGTTGTTTTTTGTATTGTTTTTTTCTGAAAATGTGTTTTACTATGTGATCGAAAATTTCCAGATACAATGCAGGTAATGTGTCAAGGATCACAAATGATTATTGCTAAAGTGTTCCATATTCCATATCATTAGCTGCTTATGATGGGGGGGGGTTGCTGGAGCCCATTTCAGGCACAGGCACAGAGAGGGTATCTAAACACCACATAGAAACTCCCAACACGATAAGAAGGTTCTTGCTGTTTACTGATCACCACCGGAGACTCCCAAGCAATGAAAAATTATCCATACAATGTAATACTGATCAATTTAAAAGGTACCCAAGAAGCTTACATTTATAATGTCTTTTTTTTTCTTAAATACATAACATAATGAGTCCCAAGACGAACCTAATACAATTTAATGTTCTTTTTTTTTTCAAGGACAGGGCACATTAATCACCATTAGTATAAATGTGCTATTTTTTGCCAAATGGCTCATTTTGAGTTGCTGTTTGTGGGCCAGATGTTAAACTATCCATTAAAGGGCTGTAAAACATAAAAGAACACAATTAAAGGCCATTAGAAAATAGAGGAAGGAAAAAATAAAACAGGGTCAAAACTTCAGAGAATGGAGCAGGTAGCATGGAAACAATGCTGTGCAAAAGTCTAGGAAAATGGGAAATGTGTGTTTGCTGAAGTCTAGCAAGCTTTAAAGTCAGTATTTGGTGTGACCACTGTTATTCTTCAACACACCCTGAACTCTTATAGGAAAAATTCTTGAATCCATATGTCCATCAATTTAGGCAAGATCTCCTATACCACTGAAATGCAGCCCCAAACCATCACAGAGCCTCCAGAGTGTTTTATAGATGGCTGTAGACACCCCTTTCCTTAATTTCTCTGTGTATAGTGATTATTTCAGGCAGAAATTACAAATTTGGATTTATCCCTCCATAAGATCTGTTTCCAGTGAACTTCAGTTCAGTGCTTGTGTAATTTGGCATACCTCAGCTTTTTCTTCCCGTTTCCCTTTCCTAAGAAATGATTCTTGACAGCCATCCTTCCACCTAGACTGTGTGAACTGAGGCTTCAATGAAAAGCAGATGGATCAACTGAAGGTCCAGATCCATCTCTCAGGTCCCTTGTTAGGTCTTTACTGGACTCTTTTTTTATTTCTTAAAGGCATGGCTGTCAGATACTGTTCATCTGCTGTGGATAGTTTTATACACCTACCACTTCTTTTCTCCTCCAGTTGTCTAATTTCATGGTTTTTGGCTTTGGGAATCACCTTATTATTGCAGAATTACAATTTTATGACTGTTGATCTGTGTTATTGTTGGATTTTTTTTTCCTGGATTCACCCAAAGAAATGGGAACAAATGTGTTTGTGATAAAGCCTGCTAGTAACAAAGTGAAGTAAAGATATATAATTTAAAAAGTTGTTCTTTGCTAAGTTGTCTGTTGCTCATAGACACAACACTGGTTTGCCCTTAAACCTAGATGCCTTTTTCAGCTTGAATGATTCATAGGTCTGTGTTAAATGGCTTGACATAAAAAACAAACAAACACTTTTCTGGTGAGAAACAAGGACTGGATTGAAAATGAGTGAAAAAGTACCACTTTTAGAAGTCTGGTTCCTTTGAGACAAAATATAAGGAATTGATGAGTGGCTCAAGACTTTTGCTCAGTACTGTGTATAACATAAGGAGTCTGGAACAAACAGCAGAGTCAGTTAAACCATAATGACATAACAGTCCATTACATTACAGATGACAAAGATTAAGCTAACTAATCAGACAAAACTGACTAAAAGGAAAGGAAGTGAGCACCGATGATGGCAATCTAACTGCTTTTAAACCAGACTGCGTGCAAAGAAATGATAATCCAAGCAATAATTCATTCTTAAAGAATAACTCACAGACTGGATCAAGGAGAAAAAAAATACAAAACTCACATGTATTTATAATTTGTTGCTTGTCAGATGCAGCACAATGTTACTGATAAGGGACCAGGCTACACCTGGATGGTCTTTTTAAGCACTGGATAACCAAAACAACAAACACTGATGATCAGCATAGCATTTGTTACATTGCTTGAAGGCTGGTGTTTCAGTGAGGTCTGCCAACTTTGCATCCTGGTTTTGACCCTGTCAGCTATGTTTAGAGGAAGTAGTCTTGGCGTGGTTCTGCCTTTAGGCTAATGAGACTTTTTCCTGCCTCCTGGTTTTCATATAAACTTGGTTAATTGTTTTTAGTGCCCTGACAGATGTTCCAAATAACCTTAGTCTTTAAGTCAATAAACAATCAGCCTACCTCATGCACAATGTGTAACAGCACAGTGCCATCTTGTGTTAACTCATAAGGAAGGCACCCATTCAGTACTCATCAACCCTGCCCTTCACAGGAAAGTTCCCCTATAATCGGCTGGCAACTTAAAAGCAAGTATGAATTACTGTATGAACTGTGAACTATATTAATTTCTGGTGAATGTGGCCTTCATAGTCTCAGGATCCCCCTCATTAACACACTAAAAATAAGGACATATGTTGGAAAGTAAAAAACCCAACCTTCAGAAAATTTCACAAGCGCAGACCATGGTGCATTAAAGGCAGTTTCATTTTGTTCACAAGCATTAAAGCACAACAAAGTGCAACCTCTCACAGACATTTTTAAGCATGTAAGATATCATTATCCGTGTATCTTTTGTATCTTAGAAAAAAACAAGGGCTTAAAAATGACATTATTCACAGTGATTTGGCTCATAGCAGACCCCCCCTCTGGACTTTTTCAAACACACTGCAGCAGCAGAGGATCACAGCTCATTACAGAGACAACACAAGAGGTCACTTGGGTGAAATACTCAGTCCTCTGAAAGCATTTAGTAACAACATCTAATTGTCTTTCACTGGCTTTTCAAAAACTCTATAAAGGCACAAAGAAAAAACTTCAACAAAAAAAAAGAAAGTAAGAAAGAAAATTGGGACTTTTTTGTGTTTAACTGATTGCACATTTGTTCCCAGTAGGTGTGATTGTAACTTGTAAAAACAGCCATAATAGCTCTTCAGTTTATAAATGAATTGCTGGATTCATTTTAAGTAGCCTCATGACATCTTGTGGAAATAAAATGCTATTAAATGGGAGACAAAAGCAGTCCAAGTAATGCTTGACATGAATGAGAAAAGTTTACTGGAACTTTCTCACAACACTGATTACTCCCATCACCACTCTGTTATTCTCTAAATGAAAAGACTGGTCAACTATTTTTCAGGTCAGGTAAGTCACAAAAAAGTACACTGGTTGTTTTCTTGCTTGTTTTTTTAAGGCAATTATTTTCTGATAATTTCCTGAATCCCCTCGATGCATATATTGTTGAATGTTCTTGAGCCTGTGCTCGCCCTTATTCCCACAGTGATGTATCTCCTTCAGTTCTTCAGCTCCATCTTTCTCTTGCTGCCAACATCCAACGTCGGTCCCTTTTCTTGTCCTGTCTGCATTTGTATCAGCAACACGATTTTTTTTCTGGTGTGTGTGTGTTGGCACTTATGGTGCCGTTGATTGGCCGAGAGTTGGCTCGCAGCAGAACTCGAGGCGTGTCCTTGCTCTCGGAGTCTTCGGGCTGCACGTTAAGGCCGTTACGAGACAGCAGCTCTCGGGCCATCAGCATGAAGGCTTCGTCCACATGCTGACTATCCTAGAAAAATTTTAAAAAGCTCTATATAACAAGTATCATCAGCATTAAATGGTCACATCTATTTATTATATGCGTGTATTACCTTTGCAGATGTTTCTAGTGCAGCCAAAATGCCTTTTTGTTTTGCCAGATTGCAGGCTTCTTGAAACTGAACCTCCCGTTCCTGCTCCAGGTCACATTTATTACCTAAATGGAGAGAATAAAGAAGCTAAGTGATGTACACACAGTGACACAGGTTCTGTTAATATTACCTTGCACCTAATTTACATAATAAAGTCAAACTCTACTCGTGTCCATGCAGTACTGTGAGCAGTAACACATGTTAATTTTAAAATGTAGTAAGCAGCAGCAAGACTCCCAAGACACAAATCAAGCTTAATTGACTAAAGATAGGGCATTAAGTTAGAAAGAACAAAAACAGAGGTGGCTGGGTTGCAAAGTGGCTTGCAGATCGCAGGAACAGACTAAAGTTGTTGTTGAAAATGATACAATTGTATATTTTGCATAAGCAGGCCATGCTAACTACAATATTTTTTTATTTAGTTGAGCTTGGTATCATTTTCACTTAAAAACAAAAGTGCATTTCTTCAGTCAAAGCATCCTACTCACCAAGCTGCATTCACTTATTTACACAACGACTGATGCATCCCACCAGTTTTTTGGGGGATTTGGGAAAGACATTCATGATTCAACCACTGAACATCTGTGTGAACAAGCCTTTCGAACTACTTAGCCACATCACAGGAGAACGTTTTCACAGTAATCTGTGTAAAAACTGCCAGGAGAAGAGGCTTTTTCTCATTTAAAGGCTATTGTAATCAAATTCCCAGTATTCTTTAGGGCTAACAGCATACCAAGAAATCTTCATTTCCTTAATGCTTTCAGGCGTTATCAGTCCTATCAGCACTCACCTATGAGGACGAGAACCACATTGGCTGCTCCATATAGCTCCACCTCTTCTATCCAGTGCTTCACTGAGTCAAAAGTTGAACGCCGTGTGATGTCATAGGCAATCACCGCGCCGTGAGCGCTGCGGTAGTAGCTCTGGGTGATTGTACGAAATCTTTCCTGACCTGCTGTGTCCCATACTTGCATCTGCAACAATAAATCATATTTAAGAAATTACAGGAGGATGGTATCATAGTAAAGTAAAGAATATTATTACTACATGTATATCCAGACAATCATTTCTGGATTAAGGTTTTTGTTCTCAGTGCTCTGTATCAGTGAAGTACTTACTCCAAATAACGATATCAGGATTTTGGAATATGAAAATTTCCACCTAGTGCAAGGCAGCTCAGTGGATACAGATGTTAATCTTTCAAAATGTGATATGGAGTGCCCCACAACACGAGTGCTATCTGGACCACCCACCTACACACATAAATGCTCACACAGTTGAGCACTCATTAGTCTTCCCCTGAAGAATAGTCCCCGAGGACCAGACAGACCTTGTTAGTGTGGTAACAACTGTCATAGTAACAAACGAGACTCACCAACCCCACCCCATTTGTTTTAATGCTATGTGATGGTTACACCTAATGCAGATTATAGACATATGCTCAGATCTTTTTTGAGCATAAACTTCTACATGCATATGATGCTGATCAATATAAATCTGCAATGCCTTTAAAACAGGCTAATGACTCTTT